TATACAGGGTGTATCAAAATAAACGCAATTCATCTTTTGTGCTTAATAACTTTCGAAATACTATTTCTAGTTAAACGCTTTTAGGTTTACTTCAAAGCCTGTTCTTTTCTCTTTCAAACAAACTATTATCCTTGTCTCCAATGCTAGTAATAATTGCACAGGAAAAGATTTAGTAAAACCTATCATTTTTAGTTGCTGTTTAATTATGCAAGTTTAATATGTTATTGTTTAGTCGGTTTAAATGTTAGAATTTTCTTCTTTAAACTTTAATGTTGTCGTCACTACATCTGGAAAACCACGTAAGAACAAATTAAAAGTATTTTAAAAGAGACCAGGTTGTTTGAAAATCCCAAACGAATGCTAAAATCGTCAAAACATTCTGGTGTCTGAGCCAGAGTGTCATCGAATTGCGATGTAATGTAAACAGAAATTATAGCAAGCTGATGTCAGTCAGCTTAGATGGTCCAAGCCAAAATTATATCGCATTTGAAGTTTCAAACTGAGTTAAAATAGTGGAAGAAAAGCCGTAATTATACTTATTGTTACAATCCATTTAATAAAATGCAACATTTTTTTGTTTTAATGAAAAAATCAGTTATTTTTATGAGAACGATTTGTTATTCCATCTCGATTTTTTTAATCTCCAATCGCAATAACGTAAAGTATTATTACCCGCGAACCAATGAGTCAAATTTAAGAAACCACCCACTGTTAGAAAGCTGAATGGCTACGCTTTAAAATGAATGTAAACTTTAAAGTTTTCGTCTATTATTTGTTTAGCAATTTACATTTTAGTCGAGGATTGCGCTTTTTTTGATACACCCTGTATAATGACATATGTCTTTATAATATAGCATTTGTAAATTCTGAACGCTGATTGGCTAAGAGCCGTGTTGATATAACTCAAATGTCAACACGGAAACGTCGGAAAATTTCTTTCTTTATGTTTCTTTGTGCTATATTATAAAACAAATATAAAACATTTTTTCCGTATTGATATATAGTTATATCAACACTCGTGCAAATTGAGAAAACTCGAAATTGTGTGAAAACACTCCGCCCTTCCACACAATTTCTCGTTTTCCCAATTTCCACTCGTGTTGATATAACTGTATATCAACACGGAAAATGTTTTATATTTGTTAAATACTATATATGTCAGTATATAGTCTGCGGTCTCTGCGTGCAGGCTATGCGATTCCGGTGCAGCCGCTCTAACCAAGAGTGAGCTACAGAAGCCAGTTGTTGAGCTGTAACCGGTAAGTTCATGTATATATAAGTGATCGGATGTGCGGGTTGTGTGGCTGGTTGAATGGTTGGCTATTTTGGCTCCTAACAGTCAGTTTTAAACAATGAATTCTCTTTCTTACCAACTTGAAAAGAAAGACCAGTAGTGTTTCCACTTGCGATGGCCAATGTTTCAGTTTCTTGCAACAGACTGAAGTTGGCTGGCGCTGAAAAAAGAATAATAGAGTTGACTTCAGGAATACGGATTCGACATGTAAAACTTTCCGTCAGAAATAATGATTTTTTAAAAATTTGGCCTAAAATACCCCCAAACTGGTAGAAAACTAAAGGGGTGAAATCAATTTAGTGTTCCCTTTAATATCTTTTCAAGTCGCGCAATAAAGTGCCCAGATTGAGGATGGCCTCACAATTGAAAATTATGGAACCGTGCGCAATGGTCAAAGTCTATCAAATCAATAAATACAATGTTCAGATGTAAACAGTTTGGACACCTAGCGACTATAAAGTACTCCTGTTTTACTTTTCGACACGCCTTATAGTCTTTATTGCCACGGTTTGTGGTTTAATAAAGTATGCCTGTTTTCGGCATACCTCATGAACTGCCTACCTACCGATTAACTTCCTGCCTATATGTAGCCTACATAGGCAGGAAGTTATACATTTGACTTACGCAGGACATCTTCATTTTTGGAATTTGCTGCCAGGAAGAAGAGAAATATATTATCTAGGCCTGCGTCACTGTAAACTGCTTCAAATTGAAGGTCTGAATTACTTACGTATATCTCGATGGCTTGTAGCGTTGGATCCGGGAGTAAACGCAAGACCAAGGGAAAAACTCTCTTGAATCTGGAACAAACAAAATCCGACAATCAAAACCCAGTACATATTTAGCGGCAACATTTTCTATCCTTGTATAACGGAGACGCACAGTGTTTGCTAAGTGCGCTTTAATTTCTGGTTTGTTCTGGTGTTTATGTAGTCTCCAGTTGCTGATTGTTCGCGGAGGCGTAAACGATTTATTCCGATCTTAACACCATTTATGGTAATACGAGATATATAGGACTATAGGAGGAGTTCACAATAGGGAAGTGATTGTACTTTGCAAGGTCACAGCAGTGTTGCAGAATCGGCTCCCTTTTGACCAAGCAAAATAAAATCGTATGAGAGCGCGCAATTTACTCGCCACAGTCAGTTGAGAGTTTTTTAGGGTTTTTCTGATCAGTTTCGTGGCGAAAACAGTTACCATGTGCATAATTATTAAAAAGACGGTTATATATTATCATAGTTAATAAAATAGGACTGTGCTATCACCATAAGGCATAAAGTTGACTCAAGTCAGATCCTACTTAGCACATTTAGCGAACCAAGGCGGATTGTCTATGATGATTCAACATGCACACAGTTGATTTCCAAATGAGGTGTTCTAGTATTACAAAACACAAATTTATATACTAAAACTTATTTAAATATTACTATATTAATTATGTCCAACATGCAATATATAACTTATATACTAACTAAACAGTGTATTTAACCAAGACAGATATGAGATAATTTCTAAAAATAAAGGTCGAGGAAGAAAGCTTTTTGTAAAACGAATCATATATACGATACTAGCCTGCGTAGCTGGCGGTTTTAAAGGGTCGGGAGGCGACGACACCGAAGTTCTTATCTCTTCCGGTTTCCGATTCCATATTTGAGCCCCACTGTAATTGAAACTTTTTTCAGGAATTCCGGCCTGGGAATAAAAAGCCTAGTCGAGTTCGAATTTTGAAAAGTCTCGCAGTCTTTGAGGGGCTATCTGCAATTGAGCTATCCGACCTGTCAAGTCCTGACTGCAATCTTAGACCTTTCCTCGAGACCATTTCTCGGCGCAAAATTGTCATTGACACAACAAACGTCATGACCCCCACTCCCACAGTTCAATGACAATGATGTTACAACCCGAAACAACTTTCGTAATTTGCCATGACAAGTTGAGTTAGGACGTGGGGGTTTAATTAAGCAAGGGTGGGTAGTAGCGAAGTAGTTGTAGTTCGCTACTGTAGCGAACTACAATTTTCAAGTAGCCAGTAGTTTTTGACTACTTTTTTAAAACAGTAGCTGTAGTTATAGCGAACTACATTTTGCCTAAAAGTAGCCAAGTAGTTGACTACTTTTCAAACAGCAAATCGCTATTCGCTACTTTTTAAAATTGTTAGCAACGTGATAGAATAGAATGATATTGAGACACGGTTTGCTTAAAATCAATACTCAATAGTCAATTTGCACTCTTGAACACTGTAGTGCTTACAAAAATGTTGCTTTCTGTTTACTGTTGCTACTCGTAAGTCGATTTGTTATAGGTTACATTTCAGCCTGAGTTAGTAGATGCTCCAAATACAGTAAAACTAAAAAATATAGCGTAGCGAAATAGCGAAATAGTCGCTACATTTTTAAAGCAGTAGCTGTGGTCAGTAGCGAACTACCTTTGTTCAAAAGTAGCAGGAGTTGTAGCTGACTACATATTTTTGAAGTAGCTGTAGCTATAGCGAACTACAAAAATTTTGTAGTCAACCCACCCTTGTAATTAAGACGAAGCGCAGCATGATTTATATAACACAGTGAATTTATCAGAAGGTGTATGGGATAAAGGTAGTCTCAACCTGTTATGTAAACCAAGTTGTGCAGGGCCAAGTACAAGTTCAAATTTTATTTAATCTAAAAATTCTTTGCCCGGAGGACGGCGCTGGTGTGTCAACATCGCATGTCATTGTGAAATCCTATTGTTTATACTGACGACCGAGTTCTAATTATTTTTCATTTCCGGACGGTGTGAACTTTTAATAAGGCTGAGAATATCTCGAACTCAAGAGTCAAGACACGGAAATTGTGCAACAATATAGGAAAACATTTGTATCCTGTAATAAAGATTGGTTTGAACAAACTTCGTGTCATTTTTCACAAACAACTAAAACGAACATTGAGGACACTCAGGACACAAGCTTACATACAGTTTTCTTCATAAGAATTTTATTTGATAGATTAGTAGTCTGCACATCGAACATTTTCAATTTGACAATTACAATTACCTTCATATAATATAAAGCTACCAATTTGATAAATGACAATTACAAGTACTTTTATGTTTTGTAAATATACAATAAAATACATTTGGGACCCATTGTCTGGCAAAATTGCGAACGTTGAACTATTATCGATCATTTTGTCAATTTGATAGAAATTTCTAAAAAAAGTTAGCAAACTGCGTAGTTTCATGGTCTTAAACTTTACAGACTAATTATAATTGACCTTTTTAAACCTTAAATAATTATCAACACCTATTACGAAGACAAAGACAATATAATATTACTAATAAAAAACATCTAGACAATCCCAAGTACTTCTTCCCGGAAATCAAGGACAGAAATGTCTAGTGTATTGTTTGAAACAGGGAACAGTTGCAAAGAATAAAGCGAATACAGATTGAATGGTGGCGCAAACAACAGAAACCAGGAGATGAGGGCAATGCTCACACTTCTCTGTGTGACTAATTTTTTGATAATATGATTATGGTTCTGCATCCGAAGTTGCCATTGCAGGTGCATGTCAGAAAGATAATATTTTGTCAGGCTTGGCTTAGCCTACGTTAATTAACTTATAGACACGATGAATATTCCTTGTACGGTTAGGACATGCAATATTGCAAGTATTGAGCAACATTGGGCGCAGTCGGTGTCGGTGACTCGGCAAATGGTTCCGGTGTTTATACTCGAGCTCAATATCCAATCAATGCCCTCCCTACACCAACACAGGTGACGTAGGCGGACACATGATCTACCAGGTGTTACGCTTCCCATTCGTAACACTTTTAAACCCTCACCACGGCGCTCTGCCACAAACAGAACCAATGCTGGAGTTCAAAATGAAGGACGTGGTGGTGTTATTCTGTTTTGTTTTTCTTGTTGTGGAAATCTCAGCGCTACCGACAAATTTACCAACAAACCAAGGTAAACCAATTTGAAGTTGTTTTAGTTTTACACCTAACACTACTGATTATCAACATACTGAAGTGGATTCAAGCTTCCGTAGTTTGTATCTAAACTACTTGAAAAAGATAAACACATTCATGTTTTCGAGCGAAAGCACTTTCTTTGGAGTACAGCATACCTACAGCTACGAACTAAGGCGTCACTGGACGTGCTTTCGTTCGAAACGTAGCAATTTTTCTCAGGTAGTTCAGACACCAACCAGTCTGTCAAACAAGAGAGCACACGATTTTTTTTTCTGTGTTGGTAGAGAGCACACATTTGATGCTATAATACATATTTAAATATACTACATTAAAGTCAAAATTTATATATTCTTAGTAGCAAAAGCTTGATTGTACTGTGAAAAACGCGACGTTTCTGGACGCATTAGTCGAAAATTCATGACGAGTGATTTTGCGCACTGCGACTAATTGTTGATAGTTTGCATTATTAAAACTCTCAAATATCCTGAAAGCGAATATCCGGATCAAAACTTGGCTTCCTGTATAAGTTCAAGGCCAATACACTGAATTTACCGACCCGAAAATTTTTTTTCAATTTAGACAAATTATTATTCGAAATTTTTGGCGTTTTAGTTTTTGCTCTTTGCCCAAAATTTCCGCCGACGAAAAGCTTTCAACAATATTGAAACAGCGGTGTATCGCTTTAATAGGCGCTTTTGTTTAGTGTGATATTTCCATTAAATAGCGCTTCACTGTTTATTTTCTCAGCTGTAAACTATTTGCGCAAATTCTTGATCGCACGCAAAAGAATTTTCCAGCAATTCGTTTATATCGCGTCGCTGCGTGCAAAACGCTGATATAAAAGTGTTAGCTATATACAGAGAATATAAATAACTGACAAACTACTGATTTCCTATAGAATTTTTGAACAGTTATTGCTTGAAGGATGTGCCTTAATTGAAACTGAAGATTTAAGTAAACACAATATACCTTTGATGCAAACACACTCGGTGTTATTTCACATGCAGTTCTCAACACTCACAAAGCCAGCAATATATCATGTTCTATGATTGGCCATCTGAAAAAAAAAATTGATTAATTTTAATGATAGTTCGATCAGTTCTAAACTGTTCTCCTTAATTTGGACATTTCGCTCAACACACTTTCACGAACGAGGAGTTTCAGTTGTTGCACTTGGGAGGTAAATTTTTTGCCTGAAATTTCCATCGACAAAAAGCTTTCAACAATATTGAAACAGCGGCCAGTCGCTTTAGTAACGCCCATCCCTTACTGGACAGGAGACCAGAGTATACCCAGGGAATAATTTCGCCTCCTCACATAAAATTGTAATCAGACAACTGCATATTGAGGGTCTCCCAGAGCATAGAATAAAGATCCATATAGAAGCCACTTACGTCGGAAGCTTTGAAGTTTCTGTCCTCGCGCATGTCGCATTAGTCATTACGCATGTTGGCCGCCATTTTCCTAGCCAGTCAATGGCATTTTCTGGCCAAACACGCTGTACTGGCTGGCTGCTCCGTCTTCTGGCCAGTAAACCGGATCAAAACTTGGCTTCCTGTATAAGTTCAAGGCCAATACACTGAATTTACCGACCCGAAAATTTTTTTTCAATTTAGACAAATTATTATTCAAAATTTTTGGCGTTTTAGTTTTTGCTCTTTGCCCAAAATTTCCGCCGACGAAAAGCTTTCAACAATATTGAAACAGCGGTGTATCGCTTTAATAGGCGCTTTTGTTTAGTGTGATATTTCCATTAAATAGCGCTTCACTGTTTATTTTCTCAGCTGTAAACTATTTGCGCAAATTCTTGATCGCACGCAAAAGAATTTTCCAGCAATTCGTTTATATCGCGTCGCTGCGTGCAAAACGCTGATATAAAAGTGTTAGCTATATACAGAGAATATAAATAACTGACAAACTACTGATTTCCTATAGAATTTTTGAACAGTTATTGCTTGAAGGATGTGCCTTAATTGAAACTGAAGATTTAAGTAAACACAATATACCTTTGATGCAAACACACTCGGTGTTATTTCACATGCAGTTCTCAACACTCACAAAGCCAGCAATATATCATGTTCTATGATTGGCCATCTGAAAAAAAAAATTGATTAATTTTAATGATAGTTCGATCAGTTCTAAACTGTTCTCCTTAATTTGGACATTTCGCTCAACACACTTTCACGAACGAGGAGTTTCAGTTGTTGCACTTGGGAGGTAAATTTTTTGCCTGAAATTTCCATCGACAAAAAGCTTTCAACAATATTGAAACAGCGGCCAGTCGCTTTAGTAACGCCCATCCCTTACTGGACAGGAGACCAGAGTATACCCAGGGAATAATTTCGCCTCCTCACATAAAATTGTAATCAGACAACTGCATATTGAGGGTCTCCCAGAGCATAGAATAAAGATCCATATAGAAGCCACTTACGTCGGAAGCTTTGAAGTTTCTGTCCTCGCGCATGTCGCATTAGTCATTACGCATGTTGGCCGCCATTTTCCTAGCCAGTCAATGGCATTTTCTGGCCAAACACGCTGTACTGGCTGGCTGCTCCGTCTTCTGGCCAGTAAACTGCATATTTTTGCATAAAAAAAACGAGGACACGTTGCACCGCTGAGCTAGCGGCCCTTCTGTTACTGATCTTTATTCTGTGTCCCAGAGGTTTTTAGGGAACAATGCGGATTTTGCAATGGGAACACGGGAACAAAACCAAAAAAAATAAGGAACAAGGGATCGACATGTAGCATTTGTGATGTTACTCTGAGTGTGCATCCACACCGGGCAAGCTGAAAAGTTTGCCTGACCACGATGCGAATCGAACCCAAGACCTTTGGGATACTAGTCCAATGCTCTTTGGGATACTAGTCAATGCTGGTGGATTCGATTCCCACCGTGGTCAGACAAACTTTTCAGCTTGCCCGGTGTGGATGCACACTCAGAGTAACACCACAAACATCATCTTCACCTGAGTACATAACACCAACACACATAAAAGAGTATCATATCTTAGAATACATTAGGGCCATTTATACCGAACAAAATAAGACGCGACTTACATAAGACGCGACTTAAGTAAGACGCGAGTTTGTCGTATAAAAGGTACAAAATTCTTACGTAAGACGCGTCTTGGATAAGACGCGTCTTACATAAGAACAGGTCTTTTAGCTGTTCTTATTTAAGTCGCGTCTTAAATAAGAAATTTTGAACAAAAAGTCTAACTACACATGCCAGAAACTTGAAACAACGTAAAATTTAATGCCTTGCATGTTAAAACAAAAACAACCAAAACAACATTATAGCTACAGCAAATAAATAAGACCAAAGCCGTAGAGACTACCATTTATGCGATAACTCCACTTATTTAAGTCGCGTCTTATGTAAGTCGCGACTTATTTTGTCACGTATAAATGGCCCTATTGACTCGAACCGACAGTGACATCCCAAAGGTCGCGGGTACGTTCGATTCCCACCGTGGTCAGGCAAACTTTTCAGATTGCCCGGTGTGGAATCTGTGGATGTACACTCAGAGTAACATCACAAACATCATATTTACCTGACTACATATGTAAGCTGGGGGAGCAAAGGAACATGGCGAGGGTTTGACTACCTCAGGGGCGTTCGTTGCGGGTGATATCCGTAAACTTGACACTTTAACGTTCACCCTAACCCTCGCAACGAACGCCCAAACCGACATAGTGGAATTTCTGTGGGGGAACAAGGGACGGAGGGAAACTTATCAAGTGATCACGGGAACATAGACCTCCCCCCCTGGAGGACCCTCTTAGCAGGAACCGAACCAAGGTCGCAGAATACACATGCACTAAAAACTATGCCACCAAAACTAACCATTTTTTTCCAAAAAAAGTCTATAGTTGATAATATTATATTATAAAATCAAATCGACTAGATTTTTGCATCTATGATTTGTACGTGGTTATCCTAGTCAGTCCATGGTCACTAATATCTAAATCATCTATCTTAGTGTCAAGCATCCAGGAACTGTTTGTCAATGCTACGAATGACGCAATCAAAAGGGGAATCATCACACTCACAGTTGGTAAGTTACGAGAAACAAGATAGTACTTTGACCCAGTATTACTCGCGATGTTAATTTGCTTTTGAAATATGACTTGGAATGTTTGTTTGTAAGTTCGGAATGTTCGCTGTAAAGTTCCGAAGTATAAGTAGTAATTGGCTAGTTAGATAAGCAAGCCAATCAAATTGCTTACTATCGAATCATCGTAAATCATCGGAATCACTAAAGTACACCTAACCTCGATTCTTTTTATCATCTCATTCCTAAGAATCTTTGATATGATATTGTAACTTAATTTTCGTTTGCACACTTTGTCTCTGAGTTATTTCCGTTTTATTGATATGCAAATGTCCGTAATTTACGTCACATATGAATAATGACTGATCAGATAATGTAAGGTACAGTTAAATATCATGAAATAAAAAGGCTAAATGGTGTTTTACATAGGTATATGTAATCCTCTCACAACTCCAAACTTCATTTTAATGAATTAAATTCGATTGTGAAAACGATATACATGCTTTTACTTTAAGTCATTATGCATTTGTGACGTAAATTCCGGATATTTGCAACCAAACAATTTGAACAAACGAAAATCTTCAAAATAAGTTATTATATCATTTCAGAAGTTCTTAAAAATGAGATGATAAAAATAATTGAGGTTAAGTGCACTTTAATGAATTCAATTATTCAACATTTATTGTTTCCTTTAGACTCGAGCAGTCAACGTTCCGACGTTAACGCGCCAACCAACTACGACTGTACAGTACGCGCTGTTCCAACGGCTGTTCGCAGAAGACTACGCCTGAGCACATTCTATACACAATACGCGCACGCGTACGGGATACCTGTGGTCAGTTCGAGCCGCGTCAAGAGAGGGGCCTTGGAACGAGCATGTTACGTCATGAGGTTCCTATTTGCCGACCGGAAAGATGTACGAGATTGGTTCTACCGGAGAAACGGTCGTGCCGGGATAATGGCGAGATCCGAAGGCACGACGACTATTCCCGAACATAGCTTCCTGCCGGCATGGTGGAACCAACGTGCGCGGGGTCTGGGCGCTACTATCCAAGTCCCCATCTCAACTGGAGGGGAGGAGAACCTTTTATGCGAATCCGGAGACAGATATTACAATGAGGATATCTTCCTACACGAATTTGTCCATGGTATACATAATTTGGGAGCTACCGGTGCAATTCCGACTTTTGATAGACGGCTACGGGCCGCGTACAACAGCGCGCGGTCAAGAGGACTGTGGCGGAGTACCTACGCTTTGAGTACGGACAGAGAATACCTTGCTGAAGGGACTCAAAGTTTCTTTAATGTCAACGCGTACTCAGCAAGGCCTAATGGAGTACACAATAGCATTAATACCAGGGACAAATTGCGCAGTTACGATCCGACACTTTATAACTTGGTTAAAGAAGTGTTCCCATGTGAAAACAACTTTCTGAAGAGATGTGACGCTAAGAATGGTAAGTTTCGGTTGCGAATGGTTAGCGCATATGCCTCTGTTACTCGGTCGCAAGTTCGCCTTGACAGTTGACACTATCAAACGCCCCAGCGCTAATTACAAGTGATTTAATGAACTATCCAGATAATAACTAAACCCATGGGCGTACCGGAAGGAAAAAATTAGGGGGGCGGAAAGAAAATTGCCCGACTTTTCGGGATTCTGCCCGACTAGTACCAAAAAAATTTTTCCGGAAAAATAATTTTGTAATTTTGTTAACCATAGTTTAGTTTACATAACTAAAAATAGTTTAGTTTACATTTCTGAAAATAATTGAAATTAGCAGTTAGCACACTATGAATATGTGTACTGTATTGTATGTGTTAAAAAGAAAGAGCAAGCCAAATTTTGTAAGTAAATAGTGGAAAATAGTCATATATAAGGGAACTGATTTATGGTGATATTTAATTGAACTTTGGAAACAAAGAACAGAAAACTGATTTAAAACTACCTTTAAAATGTGTTATATTTTAGGTATAACGGCACCGTCATTTAGAATGGACTGCAAAAGTAAGTGGAATAATTCGTTACATGATTATTTCCATATTATAATGTCTATAATTGTTTGGCCAGGATTTTGAAATTGAATCTTAACACACACTGTATTTTCTTTCTTTTCAAAGATGGAGGAGGAACAGTAGTTACAGATAAACCTCCCAAACCTAACACCCCACCTATTCCCACCCCACCTATCCCCACTCCACCTAAACCAGACACTCCACCTGTCCCAACACCACCAAAACCAGACACTCCACCAGTCCCTACTCCACCAAAACCAGATACTCCCCCTGTCCCAACACCATCAAAACCAGACACTCCTCCTGTCCCAACACCACCAAAACCAGATACTCCACCAGTCCCTACTCCACCAAAACCAGACACTCCCCCTGTCCCAACACCGCCAAAACCAGACACTCCTCCTGTCCCAACACCACCAAAACCAGATACTCCACCGGTCCCTACTCCACCCAAACCAGACACTCCCCCTGTCCCTACTCCTCCAAAACCAGACACTCCCCCTGTTCCTACTCCACCAAAACCAGATACTCCACCGGTCCCTACTCCACCCAAACCAGACACTCCCCCTGTCCCTACTCCTCCAAAACCAGACACTCCCCCTGTTCCTACTCCTCCAAAACCAGACACTCCCCCTGTTCCCACTCCACCAAAACCAGACACTCCCCCTGTCCCCACGCCACCAAAACCAGACACACCTCCAGTGCCTACCCCTCCAGTGCCTACCCCTCCAGTGCCTACCCCTCCTCGTCCTACTACGAAGAAAACCCTACCGCCAAGTAAGTAAGGTTTCTACTTGAGTGTCCAGATTTTAAAATTTCCGTTTAACTAATTGTAAGATAAAAATTGATATGGAATTTATATTCTTTTTCTTTTTCTTGAAACTTTGTTTCTTTTCGCCCAAATGTCAGCATAAATATGACCGACATCACAATCGTTTAGGTCAACAGGACTGTATTGTAATACAGCTTAGTACAAATACAATTAAACACGATATTTTTCACTTTCAGATTGTTACGACCGGAACAGTAACTGCGCTTATTGGGCCAGAATTGGAGAGTGCAGACGTAATCCTAATTATATGCGCCCGAACTGCTGCAGATCATGTAAATCTCCCGGACCCAGACCGACCCGACCTAAACCTACTTGCAGGGATTACAACAATTATTGTGGGTACTGGGCAAGAATTGGAAACTGTCGATATAGCTACTATAACTATTCTAGGTACAATTACATGGCCAGGTACTGTCGTAGGAGTTGCGGTTTCTGCCGCTAATGATCTCGGTACATTATGGAAGGTATATTAAGATATACTAAAGTATTATAAGGTATAATTTGGTATAGGAAACTTTTCCTAAAGGTTAGATTTAAGCACATAATTTTTGGTTGGTAAATACAAGTAGAATACGAAAAATGTGATGTGGTGTTTTTATTGTATATTATATTAAAACATTTTATTCCTACAAATCCAATACCCCCTTAATCGCGTTGTCTCCAGCCGAAGTTTACACGAGACCGGCAGTAATTTCTTCTATATCGTGTGGCTGTCCTCATTTGCTGGCAAATAAATAAAAGAGAAAATAAAATGATTTGCTTTCTCCTACATGCACACTTCGAAAAGTTCACAATGACGTAATCAGAACTTACTGAGTCTGTATTTGCAATGATGTTACAATATCAGTTTTCTACATGTCGTGTATTTGCGATGAAAAGCTTCCAAAACCTGATATATTTTTGGCATACCTCTCAAAATTATTTTATTTCAGTTGTATTTCGTTTTACAATTTTTACTATTACTTTATACTATATAATTACAGAAAATAAAACTATCAATGATGCTTTGAAATCGACGCCATATTTACCGCCGAATACAAGCAAAACTTACTGAATTTCAGACATAATTTTCTCTTTGGCGTACCATCTAAAATCTCTTCATTTTAGCATTATTTTACAGAAAAGCACCAAATATAAATTTTAAGTTTGTTTGCCAATTGAGAAGCGTATCGACTTTAAATGTTATGTCATAGAAGTGGCAATATATACTACAATATATAATTATAAACTACACGCAATTAACATTAAGGAGGGTCAAATTTGCAGGACAAATTTGCAGGTTGGTGGTTGATTTTTGAAGTTTTGATTAGGATAAAGATCTCAGGTTAGGGTTGGGGGTTTGAAGTGGGTTAAGTTTACGATTCCATTGCCAAAAACAACATGATAAAAATAGCCAAAATGTTGCTATTTTTAAGTTGACCATGCACTATCTGCTGACTCATAATGCGCTTACTGAAACCATACAACAACAGATGAATCGGTCTAACCACGATACACCAAGTTACTATAAGTCCAGTTTCCAGAGTGCAGACTTCTTCGCAAGCCTTTATGTTCATGTCTGCGGTAAGCAGGTCCCATACCAAGGCGACAACAGAATGGTGAATACAAATCATCCCATCTCCCGCCAGTGTAAATGGGTGTAAAATAAGTTAACCACATGATGCCTCTCCGAGAAACACAATATAATTTCTTCTTTGCTTTGGTCTGTGCCAAGGTAACATTGTTCCGAATGGTTTAGCATTTCCTGCCAAGATCTCGTTAGTATATATAAAGAGAAACGGTTTTGTATCTCAGTAGCAAAGATTAAAAGTTGTCAAGTGTGATCTCAAAGATTAAAAGTTGCCAAGTGTGCCGATCTCAAGTTAAAGATGTCTTGTATTTTAAAGTCTTGTATTTCTGCTTCAGTGGCCATCAGTCTGTGCGTTTTGTTGGCGGCATTATGCACCAAAGGTATGCAGCAATTTTTACAGAGGATTTGCCTATCTAGTACACTGATTTTTTTACTGTTTAGGTTAATCTCACTGAGTGCAGCAAATGATCGTCAAGCGCGCCAGTTATCAGAATGAAAAAAATCACCATAGATATGTTGAATTTGGTAGCCAATAAATTTTTTGAGAGATTAAATTGCTTGCTCCTTCAAAATCAACCGTTTTCTAAAGTTCACTACCAATTTAGGAATCTGCCTTTTATGTGTGAGAAATATCAATTGTAAAATTAACTATGGAGTGGACTTAACGACTCCAAGTATAAACAAGCCTGAGTTTCGATGAGTGTAGTTAATCGCGTATTATGCAAATTAGGCGAGAAAAGTCCGTTATTGGCAAGAATGTATATTTCTTCAATAACTCCAAAGGCAAAGCTGAGTGGATCCTGAAGACCAGAGTGAATCTGAATATTCCTATAACATTTAATCTATTTTTCAATTGAAGTAATGTTCATTTAAAGAGTGTTAGAAAATTTGTGGTAAATTTATTACAAGTTTTGTTCAACAATTGTTTTCCCAGCGACATGTAAATGACTGTTTATAATAAATTGTAATTGTCGTTGATTGACAATTTGTTCCTTATCTTACATAATTGTTCCCTTGGTCACTGCTTGCGCAATCACCTTGCTCCTTATTCACCACACTACTCGTATTCATCAGCATGCCTATGCCAGCATGACTGAGCGCTAATTCGAGCTGGTTACCTAAGAGAGCAGTCATTACAAACCAGGGTATCCCGAAATGTTCCCGAAGCATGCTGAGTTTGTACGTCATAGAGTTTAAAAAAATAACGGCTGAATAAATGCAAAACAACAATGTTTTTTAGTGTTTATAGCCTTATAGGGTGAACTTGGGCTAATGAAACGAAGGGCATATACTTATAATACGTATAAAGATAAATTTATTTCCTTTAAATTGTTTCGACACACACAACAGGAGGAGGGCGTGAAGTCATTGTTTTTCCTCCAAACACACAGTGTCAGTGTCAAGGCAAACTAAACTTTGCAAGTCATTGTCAAGGAGAATGTAAGAACCTGTCAGGCTAAAGTATTTCATTTAGACCCCCTTTAGATATAAGAAACTGTTCAGGCTAGAATTTCAAAACAGATTCTTTATACTCAAATAGATTCTTTATGATCAAATAAAGTCAAAATTAAGTTACAATCAGTGTAGCTTTAAAGTGCATATACTCATAGCAGTGACATACAAAGCGGAAAACACAGAAATAAAAATTACAACTATTTACAAGATATTATATTACAAAAGTGGAAAGAGGAATGGATCAGAGTAGAAGTAGAGGGACCGAGCTGCCTTGTAAGTTGAGAGAGGGTACAAGGCAGTTCTGTCTCTCTACTTCTACTCTGATAGTTCTGATCCATTCCTCTTTCTACTTTTGTAATATAATATCTTGTAAATAGTTGTAATTTATTCATATTTCTGTGTTTTCCGCTTTGTATGTCATGGCTCTGAAGATGTCTTAAAACTATATTTTTGTTATGTCTCTTTTACGTATTTTCTACTGGGCATTAATATTTATCTGAAGATTACGATTTCCGCCTGGTTCATCTATCGCAAGTGCATATACTGTCATTTTTTTAGATCATCTGTGCATAATTTATATAAATCATATACCATACCTTCATAAAATGAGTTGCTTTTCTCTTAAGAAAATAAGAACCTATTTAAGAACCTGTTTAGCCTAATTTCCTGGTAAGGAACGTTTACATAAGAACTTGTTTAGGCTAAATCTAGGTTCTTATATGCGGGGCCCGTTTTACTGTATTCAAAAGATGAGAATTGTCCGCAGAACTGACCGCCAACTCTCTTCGCAGTATGACACCATGGATAATAAAATACAACTTTTTTTAATATCCATGATGACACACGCTCACTCTCATCAACTCTGAGCTGGTCCAAATTTTGATGATGAGAGTTGATGAGAGTTTTCGCTACGTGCGCAGTAATATCCAACTCTTTGTTCTCTGAGTAATGAGCATGACAGTTGAGAAAGCAAACTTTCACTTGTCAACCTTCATCAACATTTGTTAGGTTTTATTCATATCTAATACACATACCTTGAGTTAAATGGCCTGAGACTAAATGCTGATCTTTTTCCGCGAGCGTTTTCTACGGGAACTTCTATAAAAAGACTGCAATATAAGTCTGTCTGGAGGTCCACACCAGGATTATTTTGTATTTTTGAGGCCTCTGGGGTTTGATTTTCGGCATATACATAGCCTGTATTTTAGACAGAAGCGACCTTCAATAGGAAAAGGGGGCAACATAGTTCACTGGAGGGGTCAACATTGAAGGTATGGGCGCGGGGGGGGGGGCTTGACCCCTCAGTCTGTATGTTAAAAGAGACCCTACTTCATCCCGCCCCGAACACTTTTTTGCGATGATAACTAACATTGTTTCTGGTTTAGACGCCAACGCAGCCACAATTCGTAATGTTCTGACAACAGTCGCACCCAGACTGAATCAAACCATGACGGGCAACACTACAGTCACACCTAACACAAATCACACAACACCTGAAGGTATATGTTCAGACCGGCTGGGAGAAGGGGTTAAATTCACTGATCTTAGATGTAACAACACTACAGTCACACCTAACACAAATCACACAACACCTGAAGGTATATGTTCAGACCGGCTGGGAGAAGGGGCTAAATTCACTGATCTTAGATGTAGACTGGATAACGTAAACAATTCTAAGAAAAATGTCATATTTCGTTATAGTAAAAACCTCATCTTGATCAACTTTTTCACTGTCAAAGTTGCCGGATAAGATGTCGATTAATTTTAGTAGACTTTAACTTTAAAGTAGACAAAGTATTTTAGCAACAAATCTGATAACAAAAACTGAAAAAAGTTGATCATGATGAAGTTTCACTACAAATTTAAGATATATTACATTTCTTCTCAGAGATGATACGTTAGAAAGGTCAAGTATCTTGTAAAATAGTTAAAAACACAGAACAATTTATTTTCTAGTTTGTGAGGACGAAAACAAGAGTTGTACGTGGTGGCACAAATTTGGTTATTGCTACAATGGCTATATTAATGGATACATGAGAAAAGTTTGCAAGAAAACCTGTGGCTTCTGTGGTAAGATGAAATTTACATTGGCCCGATTCATACTAGAAACGGATGACCAGTCTGGATGAACTTGGGCAAATCAAGTCATTATACCCATTTTATAGTTTGATTGGCAAAAATCCACAAACTCAGGGGCCGCGGGCAATGGGGGCATATGCCCCCCCTTTTTTAAAAGTGAAAAAGTGCCCTTTTTTCTGGACTAAAGAAGGGCCCCATTTAAAGAACGAAAAAAGTATTTCTTGAATGAAAGTCCTCTTTTGCTGGAAAGAAAGTGCTCTTCTTCGGCTGTAGTAAAGACTTTGTAAAGGCCATTTCCGACGTTATAGTATAGAGACTTCATATTTTCAAAAATTTTCGTTCGGCTCGTGAACGACACTAAATTATCGTTTGATTTCGGTCATATACAAAAGTGCCCCTTTTGGCCAATGCCTCTCCACTTTCGAAATGCTTCCGCGACCTCTGGTGCCAAACTACGGCTACCACTTAACATACACGCAGGGCATAATTTATTGCAGAACCATTATTAGGGACTGGTCATAATTTATCAGGGGGGTGGGGAGGTGTAATTCACAATTTTAAGGAATGATATTTTGTGACCCTGCTTTGCCATAACCCGGAAAAAGAAATGCCCCCCCCCCTCTCTCTTACTTGTGTCAGTAAAAATGTACCTACCTACTATTAAACCCTGCATTCGATAAATTTTCTAATTGTACTTTAAATTTTCTAATTTTCTAGTTGCGCTTTAAATCAAATCTAAAATTTATATTATACCAATACATAGTCATATATAAAACTTTAGTTTTTTTCAAACTTTTCATTCTAAGTTTAAAGACTGATCAATTTTTTTCAATGCAACTCAAACAAAATATGAGAAGGCATGTATAAAACAATTAATTGAACTAAAACAGCAGATCTCCTCCCCACCTTCATAAACTGTCTAATATTTTATGAACCCCCCTTTTTCCTGGCTAAAAATTATGTGACCCCCCCACTGTTTCCACCTCCCCACCCCTCCTGCTAAATTATGACCAGTCCCTTAGTGAATAAGATTAGGTCGTTCCAGAAAGGATCCATACTCCCCCCAAGAAGGAAATTTCTGAAGTCCGGAGGGGGAAGGGAGAAAAATCTATTTCTGAGAATATTAAGTGTCTTAAATCATCCCAGCAAAGAATTAATGCTATTTTCATTTCCATTCACAGGGCGCACTTCAGGAGAGTGCAAAGACAAGTTCTTCTATTGCCCATCTTGGATAAGATATACTGGTGGTAAAGCACTTGCATGCAATCTGGCATTCTATCAAAAGAGATGTCCCTATACATGCAACGCTTGTAATCAGTAAAAAAATACTAACATGTTGGGATGTTGGAACAAAAAGGGCAAAAGATCATGTTGTGTAACTGTTTAGATCTACTAAGTCTCTTCAAATATGCATAGAGACAATGGGTGGTGGAGGGGCAGCCATCCCCTCTGCCCCACCCCCAGTTCCGGCATCCAAACTTACATCATGTACAGTGAATGAATGGAATAATTACCGAACAATACCGATGGGGAAAATTGGAATAATATACTTGTGGATATTTGGCACTTGCCGTATTTGTTATTCTTCAACTTGGTTACCAGGGATTTTTATCATAGATAGGAGTAGAAGGCAACTGATTCTCACTATGAACTAGAATCAGAAAACTATAACGTTAGCAAGTTATCATGCAAGTATATTAATCGCAATTTGAACTGGTACTACATATTCTAATTAATGTAAACTGATAATCTAGGGGTCTTAAATAAATATTTTATGGTTTCTAGAAGGCCCTAGCCCACTTCTTGTATATACTTTATTTTCAGATTTGTTAATGTAATTAGTAAATAAATAAATAAATAAATAAATGAAGTGTTATTGTCTGATGAGATTAATAAATGAACAATTCCATGCTAAAAACTGTTCACACGATTCCGTTTTGCAGGGAGGGAGGATTTCATGATGTGAATGTATTGAGACCACCTATTATATATGATACGTTGTTCACCATTCACCAATAATCGTTAATTGGTGCCATTGAAGGCAAAATAGCAAGCAGTGGCGTCCCTATATATTTCCCCCCCCAAAAAAGTTGGCAAGCTGGGGGGGGGGGACAAGTAAAAGAAATCACAAATATTTTTCCCCATTCATGTCTACTAAAAAAGGGGGTCCAAATTTCGCAATTTCTGCTTTTGGGGGCCACCCGTTGCAAATTTTCTGGCCCTCTATAACTGAGGCTCGGGCCAATTTGCCCAATCAGTACTAGCAAAAATTTTATGGTCATTTTGCCAGGGCCACCCAAGCGTGGGGCCCCATCTCTGGGCACCCAAACACCCGCCAGTTAATTACGCCACTGATAGGAAGTCAAAACAATGATAGCTAGGAGCCTAAGATGGCAATTCATTTTCTAAAAGGCCAATGGAGGCAATGGGATTTCTAAGACAATGAAAAGACAAAGGAAAATGGAATGAGAAACAGTGGCGGCGCCAGGCTTCCAAATTTGGGGGGGCATTTGAGGGGCAAACTCAAATTTTGGGGGGCAAGATAGAATTTTTAAAAAGGTCGCCCCCCCAGGAAATTCGCCCCCCCCCTCAAAACGTGGCGATATTCCTAGGAATATTGCCCCAGGGGGCGAATATCCTAGGAATATCGCCTCCCAGGGGGTGGGGCGAATACCCTAGGAATATCGCCCCGTTTTAGGACATTCGCCCCCCACACATGCGATGTGGTTTATTCAAATAATTTCGTGATACTTTCATCTTATTATTGCCTTACACGTTTGAGAATTTAACTCTGCAAAACTAAAGCTTTTTTGTCTTTTTTTGAAACGTATTATTGGAGTATTGGCAAGTTTTACCATTCAGAGATTTACAAACTAATATTGAAACTGTAAAAAACAGTTTCATGTATATGCGCATTCACTAATGAGTAATGACAACTTATAAGCTATACATTTTCCGATAACGACAGAACGCTTGTGTAGCCTTTAGTCGCTCTTAGTGACTAATAATTTTTTTTGAGGGGGGGCAAAATGGGGGGGCAAAAAATAAATTTGGGGGGGCATTTGCCCCCCCTTGCCCCCCCCCGGCGCCGCCACTGATGAGAAAGGATTGTGACTAGTCTAGATGGCACTATTGTTGAGCTAATTGTTCACCATAACAAATTACTTTATAATGCACAACTTTGTTCATTGGCCTTTTTCATTTGTGATATGCCTATTAGGTGATAAATACTGTACAAGATTTATAAGTTAATATATAATTGCCTTTATTACAGTTAATTGATCATCAGTGCATTTATTACAGTATATATTAAAATCAATCGGTATAGCTCTAATGAAGTCTCAAGCTTACAAAGCAAAGAGCTCAGCTCAATAAATATTGTAGTGTAACCCATAAATTATCCTTACATAAGTATTAAACTTAGTATACTATATCAACCCAATTTTATTATTTTGCTCTCTCTGTCTAATGCCATAGGTTATGAGATTTGAGAGAAAACGTTTTGGCTGATTAACTTGGCACATCAGGCTTTTCTGAGTAGGGAGGTGTTTCTGAAGGTTGTCCAGGGGGGTAAGGAGTTGCTGAACATTGACCAGGGGGGTTTATGGCAGGTGAAGGTCCGGGGTATGGGGGTGGTGCGACATCTCCAGCAATAATCTTTCGTTGAAAGAACATAATCAGCTTCATTTCTATTTTCCCAAAGCCTGACTGATATGCTTCTGGGGTTTCTTGAATACACGATAGCTCCCATCCACGTCGACCCATCTCCACAATTACTGGACTCCAATCAGTCTTCACGGACGTTCCTGTGAAACCCATTGACACCCTATGGATATATTCAATAACAGCGCCTTGGTAAATCGGTGTTGGATCTTGAACTTTGGATGATTCTTTTTCAAAAAACCATACAGAATTCATACTGCCTGCCGTTGAAAATCCACCAGCACGTTGTTGAGATTGATCAAGAAAAATTTCCACTAATTTCCAACCTTGATTTAAATACAAAGCTAGTGTACCTAACCAATCACAATGCACTGTGGGTCGTGGTGAAAGACCCATCTTAACTGTGATACCGATGGGAACATTAATAACATGATACAAATATTTTGCTGGTGTAGGTTGGTTGGGAATTTCAAATAGGACGTCAACGCCAATCCCTTCACTTATCCCAGACATTGCAGCGGACATGCCCTGTGTGACAACCTGTCCGTTGATTTCGACACAAATTAACCGTCCGCCCATTGAACTATGGTGTATGATCTTATTCATGATATCCGAGGTATCGGCAACAGTCCCGAGGGGTGTCGAAGTCGAGAGGATCCCACCTCGAAAATGCTGCAAATGCATCGTTGATTTTTCAACCAATAACCGACTACCATCTTGACTCGCTGGCCTGCCAACAGGCCTGCTATACAGTGCTTCAAATGGGATCTGAGCTTGGCCAAAACCAGCCATACTAGATGATCCTGGGACACGGTAGAATGTATTCAGGCTATACCCTTGTTGCAGATAGCCAGCAATGGTAGGATAATAAGCATCCACATTACTTGTAACTGCTGTTCTGCCAGCACTAACACCCGAGACAAAATGGCTGCTCATGTTTACCGGTATTGTGACTAATAAACATTCGAGAGGCGAGCCTTGATAAGGTTGTACGTCTTCTGGTAACGGAGTATGTGCCCCCGTAGCTTTGCTTTTTACTTGGCCCGCTTCTGCTGGACGCGATTTGATCGCTCCCATAGTGAAAATTGTATCTAAAAATCGTTTTGTTTACTTTATACAGTAAAATCTTGGGAATGTTAAAAATTTATATAAAATGTCATGACGTGTCAAAAATAGGTACGCACTGCGCACAACAACCTCGTACCCAGGATTCTCTTTTTGAACTATGTGCCAGTAAGGTTGTGCGTACATGTGTATGGTAGTGATGGGCGATACCGAGTACTCAGTATTCGATACCAGCGATACCACAAACAGCGGTATCGGTATCGATTACTGACGTGGTATCGTTCGATACTTGCACCCTTTTTTAGACGACTTGTTTAATTTTAGTTCTTGGTTGAATAAGACTTAATGAACCACTAAAAGAACTCTTAATATTCAAAATGTGGTGCACCAAGTCATGTGTAGAATATATTTATTACGTTTTGGGCTTTTGGTTTTCTTATAGCTTTATTTAGGTTGCACACAGTAATGTAAAATGTTTTTCCACTGACCGGCAGGTATCGAAAGTAGCCAATACTGGCAATTTTAGTACTCACTTCCGGAATCGAAAATTGAAATTTTGTGTTTATTTTGGTATCGAAATAGGTATCGGTATCGACCGATACCGATCTTAAAAGTATCGGTATCGGTATCGAATTAAAAATCCTGGTATCGCCCATCACTAGTGTATGGTCGCCTATCGATAAAATATATTATATATATAAATACCTTATTGAATTCTGATTGTTTAATTGGCTGTTTATGGTCACGTGATATTGGTCACGCGCCATTTCCCAAGAGCGCAAAAGAGCGCAATGGAATACGTTCCATTAATTGTCCTATACGTTTTTTTCTCTCATTGCACTCTTTGTGTTTTCGATAATTCGCATCCGTCAAAATGCTTCTCATACGAATCTATTAGTCTATTTTGGTATTATATAAAACAAATAATGAAATGATAAGAATATTTTCATTCGGTGAAAGATGAAATGTTCCATAACTTCCATTCAACTCGGCTGTCGCCTCATGAAAATATCCTCATCTTTTACCTCATGAAAATATTCTTACCATTGCACGAATAAACGTTCATTATTTGTATAATGTAAATGTAATTTAAAATGTAATCTTTTTCAAAATAAAATTAAATTAAAAAACAATGAAAATCAAAATCAAAATCAAAATGAAAACAAAAATAAAATCAAAATCAATTTAAATTTGATCAGCCTAGCGCTATCAAAATTTATTTGAAATGTAATACAATTTTAAAATATAATTCAAATCAGGAAACATTTCCGTATCTGCAATGTTGAAAACTTGTTTTAATTAATTAACCTACAAAGTTGCCTGCTTATTTCACGGATAGTTTTCAATCAGCAATTATTGTCAAACGTCCTGGGGTCGATTGTTCAAAGATAGATAAGCGCTAACCCATGGTAAAAAGTTAACCTGCTGTTTTAGTTTATGTATTCCTGCACATCCGTTTATTTCAAAACATCAGAGAAGAATACTCCTAATGATCCAGACAAGATTTCTAAAGAAACATTTTCAAATTTATAATCAAGCTGTCAGGAAGTTTACTTTGAATTTTAGGTTAACCTAGGGTTAAGCTAACCGCCTAACCCAGCTTTAAATAACTGGCCCCAGTAATTTGAGTGAGAAAATGATAATAAATCTTGTCATTATAGGTAGTAGTCTTGTTTAACCCATTGAGTGGCAGCACTCTCCACTTGACGAGTAAAATCGTCTGGCGTGAGACAGAGTAAAATATTAAAGTAGGGCGTATCGGGGTGCATTGCCACTTGAAGGGTTAAGAGGATGCATGGGCACCCATCGAGTGGCAGCTAGGCTTAGACACAAGATTCTCGACCTTGAATTACTAGAACTAAAAATAACTGCTAAAAAGTTGCCCGAAATGTCAAAAGTTGCTCAAAATGTTAAAAGTTGCCGAAAAGGTGCATTGCCACTAATTCCTGTGTTAACTGTTGACGTAGTGATTGCAAGGCTGACGGCCTGTGACCCATACAGTTCAGTTCGCCCCCAGCCAGAGTGAATGCCTAAGCTGGCGTCTTGTTAAAGTGTTTCAGCTAAATTGTTGCACCACGCGCCTGCAATGAAATGTAAACCACAAGAAATATATATTAATTTTTAATCTTTAAATCACTTTATTTACCACAAGATACAGGTAAAATGGTGGACACAACAGGTTACCCCAATTACTGTGCCTCCAAAACGATCTAGATTTACAAGTTAAGAATGCATGCAAAATTGATTACACTATATAATAGACTATGAAATGTGCTATATCACAGATTAGGAAGTGAAAAATACGATAGATAAACACTATAAAAGTCAACTAAATGCAACAATGAGGCATTTCATTTAAAAGGCGCGCATTTTTGCATTTGATACAAACAGATTTCTATGTGCTGTTGTCGTCAATGTCATAGTTATCCTTTAAGGCTTTGTTGTAATAAGAATACAAACTCTTTTTAAAGTAACTAAGAGTTTGGTTTTCTAACGTTAGATCGTTTGGTAAAATGTTCCATAGTTTTGTTACCCTTATAAAGTAGCTATTTTGGTAAGTGGTAGGTCTACACTTTTTCACAACCAATTTCCTACCGTTGTTTGTGGTGCTACGTGTACGTCTCACTGCAACGTAAATTGCAGGGCAGACGGTAGAGATACCAAACCATGTATCACCTTGAACAGGAAAAGCAGATCGAGCAGTTCAAGCCAGTAGGAAACTGGTAGTATTCGAAGTGACAGTAGTCTTTCTTTATATGGTATCTCTGAGAGGTAATTTAAATTTAAAATGAATTTAGACGCCCGTCGCAGAACCTTTTCCATTTCTTGTATGAGCTCAACTTTTTGCGGAGACCATAGTTGGCTTGCGTACGAGAAATTGGATCGAACAATTGTGAGGTAAAGCAGCCGCCTAGTTTGAGGATTTAGGAATTCTAAAGTACACCGTCTAAGCAGACCTAACATTTTTTGCAAATTTTATACGTATGATCACTCCAGTCAAGGTTGGACGTGACTAAAACTCCAAGGTCATTAACTTTGCTGACCAAAGGTAAGGGCGTATCATTCAGACCAAAGGTAATGGCGTATCATTACAGTAAACTTTTTTTTTATATTGTACAATATGCCAAGTTTAATTAGGAATGAATAACATTTAGGATGAGCAAACTGAATTTAGTTTTTCATCTCCAACTAAATGTAGCCTTGTTGATGCCAAATGTTATTCTTTGCTGATATCAAATAATTTCCTTATGCGCTGCCTACACATTGTTACAAGTGTCACACAAGGGGGGGGGGGGGGG